ACACACACACACACACACACACACACACACACACACACACACACACACACACACACACACACACACACACACACACACACACACACGCTCTCTCTGTGAGTAGGGTCTGCAAACACAATCCCTCTCTGAAACAAGCTGCTTTACTCAAAGCTGTGCTCCCTCACGCCAGTGTGGCCTTCCAATCCGCCTCTCACGACAAGCATGACCCTGGCATCCCCTCCTCAACCCCACTCCTTCTGTCTCTCGCCCGCTCTTTTCTCTCCCCCTCTGTCTGCTCATAGATGGGTTTAGGCGTCATTAGGCCACTTACACATGTATTCACTCCTAGGAGCACTCATCAAGGCAATCCACCCAGGAGAGAGCGAGTGGTGTGAGGGAAAAGCGGGATTTCGGTATTACAGTGGGTTTAGCCTGTGAGTGTGTGTGGTACTTATGTTTACAAAGAGTCCTTGAAGCACAAGGTGATGGGTGTGTTGTGGGCTGCTGTTTACCCAAAGGGGCAGTCACTGTTCTTCTGTATTCTGCTTTTCCCACCTAAGTTTTGCTATTAAATAATGAAAGTAAGCTTGTTGTTTAGACTTTAACAGTTTGTTGCTGAGGCAGAGAAGAAGTTTAAAGCCAGACACAAAGAACACACATGGTCTCAGCGCAGGAAGTGAGACCAGGTCCCTTTCTAATGACTTGTATTTGAATCAGAGAAAAAACAAAAGACAAAAAAACAGGATGAAGAATGTAAACGCACTTTAGGAAAACTTTTTGAAGTCAAGTATTAATTTGCTCTCCAAGCTCCCCTGCTGAGGATCGCGGGAGCATAATTGGTCACATTGAATTAAACAGCAAAAAAAATCTACAACTGTCACAAAAATAGCACAAGGCGCTTTCAAAGCCCCATCCACTACCCTTCACTATCAATTTACCAAGGGGAACAGCTGTGTGCTGCTTGTGCCATCCTAGCCCTGCTTGTATAGAAGGCAGAGCCTGCGGCTGAAAGAACACTATCTCTACCAGGTGCAGGCAGGGGATGGGGGAAGGCTTTACAAAGGAATATTTGGCACAAGGTGTGAGACAACAATATGTGTGAAGGTGCAGCTTAGTGATACTCAAATCAGTATTGGGAAACGACAAGCCTTTTATAAAGAGAGTCCTCCCTCGGAGAGAAAGGCCAAATTAAGAGTATGGGACCCAAGTCCACTGATGAGAGGATGGGAGGGAGGAAGGAAAGGAATGAGGGGTAAGAGGAAAGTAAGGAAGGGTAGCATTAATAATGGAGGAGAAGAATCCAGAGAATGAGCCGATTTGTCAAAGAAAGTGTAAATGAATGAATTACAATGTAGAATGACACCAGGAAAAGCAGAATGAATTGAGGTTATTGGATTTAAGGGATGCATAATCATCTGGAGGATTCAGAGAATGTGTTTGTGCTCGCTGCCCACACATTTTGTGCCAGCGTGAAGGCACCGCGTGGAGTTGGGGGGGGGGCAGTGGAGCGGTTCACCACTGCCTGTCCTTGTGTCACCCGTAGGAATTTCTG